TTTTTGTGACTAACGTTTCATTAGTATAACCATGGAGTATAAAATTCAATATAAACTCTCGGTATTGCATTGGACTCTATGATCGGCGGAAGTTATCGAGCATCCTTAATCCTTCACCGGAAATAACGCTGTGCATAGAGCCCATTCAGAAAAACAGAGCAAAAAAAGGTCCATGAAAAATTAACTCGTTAATTCCGAAAAAACAGAGCAAAACTTTTTTCCTCATAAAAAATTAACTCGTTAATTCAGAAAAACAGAGCAAAAACTTTTTTCCATGAAAAATTATCTCGTAATTCTGAGATAATTAACTTGTTAATTCAGAAAAACAGAGTAGATTTTTTTTTCTTCAAGTGAATGCAATACGCCTCCGTAGGATTTGCACTAGGTTTACAAACAACTGTTGTGACCTTCCTCGAGCTGGATCCTTAAAGACATACTCCGCTTTTTTTTTTTTTTTTTTTTTTTTTTTTTTTTTAAATTGGCTCATTTTACAACTCCCCCAGTTGATTTTTACCGTTCTCAAATCCATTCAGCTGATTTTATGATATTTTTAGAAGAATATCAGTGACCACACAGTATCTGGTCCCAATGACTTACATAGGAAAAAATACACTATGGAAGTCAATGGTTACTGATAATCTTCTAAATATCATAAAATAAGCTGAATGGATTCGAAAACGGTAAAAATCAACTGGGGGAGATGTAAAACGAGCCTATTTCCAAAAAAAAAAAAAAAAAAAAAAAAAAAGTGGAGTATCCCTTTAAGAGTCCTAGGACAATCCTAATCTTCAAAAAGTCCTTCAATGGTGTCACACAGGCTCCTGTCCACCAAAAAGTTTTACACTAATTTGATTCCGCTTCATTGAGTGTTGTGTGTGCTACAGATTTCAAAGTCAGTTCAATGCATTGAGAAGCTTCAGATGATGGGAATGTTTCGTTTCTCGTTTGGAGGTGACTTGCTGATTTCACTCCTGGTTTGCCATGATATTAAGGGTGAAATGAGTTCACATGCAGCTTGTAATGATTGACAGCTCAGTAAAAGAGTTGACTGCAAAAGAAAAGTGACAGGGTGGTGATGGCGCAGTGGATAAGACACATGCCTTTGGTGTGAGAGACCCGGGTTCGAATCCACTGTGAGACACCAATGTGTCCCTGAGCAACATATAAAGCAATTGTAAGTCGCTTTGGATGAAAGCATCAGCTAAATGAATTTACGAGTCACTTTTAAAGCCTCCTTGTATTTATAATCACAGTCTGCAAACTATTGCAACTTAAAACTTGCAGACTTAAAATTAAGACTAAAAAGAGTTAACAGTGTTAGCTTTTACTCCTGACGGTATTGTATTTAGGCTTATAGGTGTTAGTTTGGGAAGGTCATCTCAAAACTTTTGTTGGCCACAGAGCTTATCTTCTGCAATAATTCAATAATTAGTATAGGCTTTTTGTTGAGGGAACCATCGGGTGTTTAATCTAACACAGTCTCATCCCAAAAAGTCATATAACTGACGTCTTGGGACGTCTTTTGACCATTCGTCAATATCCGCCTTTTTAGGGCCCCCTTAAACGTCGGTAGATGGCGATCCCGGGCCGTCATACAACTGACGCTTTACCTTTAACGTCAGTTAGGTGACGGGTTAGGTTTAGGTCTGGGGTAGAGTTAGGATCCCATAACCTCATCTACCGACGTTTAAGGGGGCCCTAAAAAGGCGAATATTGACGTATGGTCAAAAGACGTCCCAAAGCGTCATTGGGATGAGACCGGGTTGTTTAATCACAGCAGTGCCGTATTTTAACATTGAAAAAACAAAGACGCACTTCATCTTTAAAACGATACATCACAATATATCACATCTGTGCCCGATCATTAGCGATCCCAGAGGGGGGACAGCTTGATAACCACGCAAAAATGACACGCATCCATTTTCTAGTCGTCAGATTGTCCCGTTCAACGCGCTTCCCTCTAACAAACACTGTAAAACTTCCATTCCATTACAAAGGCGTGAGATAAGAAGCTCCCTCTGGTCCATTTAACTGTGATTTGAAGGAACAATTCCCATCTGGATAGACAAATGTCTGTTAACTCCATTCACAGAATAACATCAGACAGAACAAAGCGCCGTCTAAGCTCGCGAGCGTCATGGGACACGGATAAAACGAATCTGAAGGTAAATCTTTCTCTTCTAAGCGGCTCAATAATGTATTCTCCTGGGAGTTTTGCAGACGCACTAAAGCATTCACGTGGCGGGATGTCTCCTTTACTATATTCAATAATGCAAATTTTCTAAATGGGCCCTTCAGAATGGGAGTGTCAGGAAATTTCCGTCCTGACATGAAATCATAACTGACCTCCTCTGGTCTGGCTCTATGTATAGCGCCATCATGAATTTTGCATTATGTTGAATGGCTCTCGAAGATATTGACTGACTGCAAGTGTAATTTGTCAGTACAGCGGATGTGAGCATACATCAGTCGGGCCGGACCGGTGATCCGTCTTATCATGGGGGTTCTGATGGAAAGACGCAGGTGTCAGATTGACCAGACGACAAATTCGGTTAAGCCGGAATTAATGGGCTTGCGGGAAGATAGAAGCCTTCTGAATGAATACCTAATGTGTTCATAGAGCAGGTTTGAATGGACTCGCTTATAATGTGAAAGTGACCTTTGTGCAATCTCTCACATTAAGGGAAACAATTAAAATAGAACAATGTGGTTTTAGTGCGACGGAAATGTTCTTCCTTTGGTTACTGGAGCGAGTAACATAACCTCAGTAGTACCCTGCACTCTCAGAAAAAAAGGTACAAAAGCTGTCACTGTGGCTGTACCTTTTCAAAAGGTAAACTTTTGTCCATTTTAGGTGCTAATGTGTACATTTTAGGTGTGAATATTTACATTTTAGGTGTTAATATGTACATTTCAGGCGCTAATATGTACATTTTATGTGCTAATATGTACCTTTGAGGTACCAATATGCAGCCTTTAGGTACAAAAGGTTACCTTTTGAAAGGGTACAGCCCCAGTGACAGCTTTTGTACCTTTTTTTTCTGAGAGTGTGGTGCCAAATTGACAATTCTTTTTTTTTTTTTTTTTGTGGAATATTACAGCGATATTATTATAAATGATTTGTCTGTGCACTTATTTTATTACGTTCACATGCCTCGTGATCTTGAATCCGAATACATTTTAACAGGATCCTCTTGCAGTGACATCTCTTCTCTTGTCTTATGATGTGGGCGGGGCAAGCCGACACTCACGTGAGATCCACCAATAGCAAACCACAACCATCCAATCAATTCCAGGACAAAATCAAGCCCCGCCCCACATTAGATTTAGTTCCAGAAGTATGTCACCTTATGGAGAAGTGCAACTTACGTTTAACTAGCAAAACGTTCACTCATTTCAAAAATAATAACAAAGTTTAAGTTTTATAAGCTCAAATGGTTGCCTTGCTCTGTTTTGTGATTCGCGTTCGTGAATCGTGACTCTTCTGTTCGAACTCGTTCATCAAAATGAACAAATCTTTTTTCGTGTCATTTACTTCATTCAACAAATGAAATGAACGAGTTGACTCTGGAAAAGATTCGTTCATTTTGATGAACAGGACAGTCACGAACACGAATCACAAAACAGAGCAAGGTGAGCATTTGAGCTTATAAAATTTAACTTTGTTATTTTATTTTTTTTTAAATGAGTGATCGTTTTGCTAGATAAGACCCTTATTCATCGTCTGGAATAGTTCAAAGCCCTTTCAACAGTTTGCAGTTTGCACTGAAACTGTCTTTTGGACCTTGAACCGTTTGGTCCCCATTGAAGTCCATTATATGGAGAAAATCCTGGAATGTTTTCATCAAAAACCTTAATTTTTTTTCAACTGAAGAAAGAAAGACATGGACATCTAGGATGACATGGGGGCGAATAAATTATCAACAAACGTTTTTTTTTTTTTTTCTTAAGTGAACTACTCCTTTAATAGATTATACAATTTTATACAAAAAAGAGCTTTAACATATCTGTTCATTTGCTTGGTATAATTACCAAGAGAGTCAACTTTGAAGCACATTTTACTTTATACATCTGGCAGACACTTTTATTCAAAGCATCTTTTTTTGTTGGCTTTATCACAAGACAAAATAAGTAATTTGTTAAGAAAAAAAACAACAAAACTATTCAAGACATTTTCTCTGAAAATAAATCTTATTTTCTTCCGTTATCCATATTATAATGGCCTTAAAATCCACTGAGATGATGTAGGTAAGCTTTAAAATGTGAAGGCGTGCTGTTGTTTATCTAAAAGTGCTATTTCTATCTTTCAAAGCAGTTCGTTTAGATGTCACCATTGAAGTTTTACTTAAAGAACTAAAATAATTATACAAACATTCATGACTTTAAAGCAAGACACATAACTGGAGGGAAAAAAAACAATGTAACATTATTTTTTTCTCAGTAAATTGCTTCTTCTTTCGTCTTGTTTTATACAGTAATCTCACACTCTAAAAAATGCTGGGTTGTTTTAACCCAACTTTGGGTCAAATATGGACTAACCCAGCCGTTGGGTTAAATTTTTACATTACATTTCCCAACATTTCGGGTTTGTCCATATTTGACCCAAAATTGGGTTTAGAGTGCACTAAATTGATCTAATTAGCCTTAAAACACAATCAAGAAAACTGAATTAAAAATATTTTGTGAAGATTAAAGAATATTTTATTGTTAAAAAAAAACATTAGTAATTCTGTTTCAGGGTCCAAGCCTCTACTCGTTTCACCTGAGATTCAGAATATAAATAGTCATTTATGAGCATTGCTTATTCATATTACACATTTAAACTCAGTGTACAATGCAGTCTCCAGGCTCACGGCGTCCTGCACACCAATATTTTAATGATTTATAAAAGATGAATCACTAATGAATGAAGGTTAGGATGATGTTTCGGTAGCATCATCACATTATCATTGTTATTTATTTACATCACACTTATTATTTGATCCGTATTATTCATACAGATGTGGACGCATCCTGCTGGTTTCCGCACGTAAGGAACGCATGACAGTCCACCTGAACGGGACGAGGCCTTGCTCTGACAGCGGTGAGTTGAAGACACACACTCGATCTGGCACGGATCAGGATCCTTCTTCTGAGAGGGAATGTCATGGCTCAAAGCAATAACAGCACAATCACTTTACAATATCTGCTCCATCGCAGACTTTTGTTTTGCTGTATTGTTTGGATACAGGGCTATACTCTGTATTGTGTCTGAACGATGCACAGGGCTTGACATGTTTTTTGTCCTCTTTTGCTGCAAACGGTGCAGATGTTCTGCAAACATGTTGCATATTTACTACTAAACTGGACATTTCAGCCCAAATTAATTTTCTTATGTTATTCCAGAATGTCTGATATCCAAGGCTGATTATTATTATTACTATTTAGGTTATTATAGTTAACTAAAACTAAAACCAAAACCATAAACGTGAAAAAATAAATCCTTTTTTTTTTTTTAGTTTCATTTAGCTTAACTTGATGTTAAAAAATAAATTGAAAAAATCATGGGTTTGGAGTGACATTGTGAGTAAATTAGGCCTATATCGTTTTCATTTTTAGGAATATGTATTTCTTTTAAAGGGGTGGTTGATTATGGTTTCACTTTTCTAACTTTAGTTAGTGTGTAATGTTGCTGCTTGAGCATAAACAACATCTGCAAACTTACGATGCTCAAAGGACTACAACAAACGGCTGATTGGACTACATGTCATTCCTCCCGGATTAGTGACATCATGAACACTAAAATTTCTAAAATTTACATAAACTCCGCCCCTGGAACACGGTTTACAGATTATCAAGACAGAGTAGAAGATAACTACACATAAGCAACATAAATTAATCAACTAATCATTCAGAAATGTTGTCTACTTTACATGTTGTCACGTCTCTCCATCATTGCCTGACTCGCGTTTGAACATAAAAGGGTAAACGTTCAGTGCATGTCAGCGTGAGGTAGTTGCTGTAGCTCCGCCCCCTGTGCCGGGAGCAGCAGCTCATTTGCATTTAAAGGGACTGACAAAAAAAAACGGTTTGTTTTTGACAACTTTAACATGCTATATAAAAATATCATGTATTTTGAGCTAAATTTCACTTACACTCTGAGGAAATCAGAGATTTATTTTACATCTTATGAAAAGGGCATTATATCACCCCTTTAATGAATGTTTTAAGAGAAACAGCTCAGACAAACACTTCTGAGAACTGCATTATTTCTCCAAAGCAACAACCGAGCAATAGCTATTAATGTAAGTAAATGTAGATGAAGGTTTTAGAATCGTCTCGCTTCATTCATCACGTTTAGCTGTCCTGAAAAATATTCTCCATTTGCCTGAAAATAGCTGGTCTTACAGGAGCAGAAGCGTTTGTGTTCTCTGAGGTTTGCACATCATCTGAGATATCGATTCAGCTGTGTGAAATCCAAACATTCGCTCCACTACTGAAGATAATCCGTTTGGTCTTGCTTTGTAGCCTATGAAATACCATGTTCTGAAAACTTCAGGTAGTTTCTCCTAAAGGGTATTTGGATACTTCTTAAATGTGTGAATGTGATTGATTAGATCAAGTGTCTCGTTAACTATGGACATGATCTACTTGTGATTCACAGACATTAAAGTCACACAAAACTGTCTTAGAGATCTAATATTTTAGAATTGCAAACCATTCTTCTTTTTGTGAATTTCACTTTGCATGTATTTTTAAGAGTGACCTACATGCAAGTCTGGGTCACATATAGTCAGTGCTGGGTTATTTACAATGTGTCTCAAAATTACATGAAAAAAAAAATCTAGTTAGTAATAACATCACACATTGACTACTTTTTTGATTACTTTAAGATTACTTTTGATCTCGTTTATCAAACTATAATACACACATTTGTGCCAAAATATCCGTTTTGTATGGTATCCTCACAAGAACAGTCTTAAATGAGTTAAATAAAATAAAAAAGAGAATGAGACGCGTGAGATCTTGTCAGATCTTAAAGAGCCACTAATTCTCTGTCAGTAAAGTTAATCAAAGAACAGAGGGAACAGAGAAAATTATGCACTGCTCTTGACTAAAGAACTTTTGTTGCTTTAATGAGGATTAATCTATATTTAATTTATAGTTTTTGCAGCGCGGACCGTTTGATAACCTTATTCAGTTTCTGTTCATATCTGTTAGACAGGAAGAGCATGACATTTATTATGGGTTTATGTGAAGATAGTTCACTTAAATTAAACGTTGTTATATTTTTTTGATGCCTAATAAATGTTTAAAATTTGGGGGGAAAAAAATAATTTTCATTAAGACATCAGTAGTAATATTAGTGATACTGGCCCTCATTCAGAAAACGTAAAATATACTGTCTTTATGTTGTTTCTACATAAATTTTTTTCTACATTATAAAATTATTACCGCAGGATGGTATACCCCTAACCCCGCCCCTAAACCTACCTGTCACTGGGGTTAAGACCAATCAGGGACGATGGCCTAGCCCTAACCCCGCCCCTAAATCTACAGTACCCGTCACTGGGGTTAAGACGAATCAGGGATGACTATAGTTCCTAAATGGTATATGGTGGGGTCCGGATAACAGGAAAGTACCAAAATATATTTAAAACTTAAGTGTTTTAATTGCAATTAATCACAGACAAAAAAATAATAAAATAACACAAAAATAACGATGAACATTTTTGATTTTATAAATTATTCTCTCAAGTCTTGGCGATCGGCCCCTATTAACAATAAAGTAAGAAAGACATATTTTTCGTATACATAGTTTAGTAGCCTACTATTCTTTTTGGCAGAATATCATTATAATCAACTTAATTGTCACCACAGTCCCATTCAAATCAAAAACATTTTCCTCCATTTTGGAATCTGATTAAGTGACCAGTCCTTGATTCTGATTGGTCAATAGCGGAGTTTTTTTCACGGGCTATGACCAACTCGTATCACTGCCTAGCAACCACTCTTAGCAACTTAAAAATATTCTGTTGATATTGTTCACTGATTAGCCTACCTTTATTTACAGACTGGATATAGCATTTTCCTTCAGGTGACAAGTCAGTCCAATATTTTTACTACAAAATCTATTTAAATGTCTGCAGCTTGTGGGTTTTGTCAGTTGCGTCTTGCTTAAGTTCTCGGACTCTTGTGTGCTGTCGGCGATATTTTTTTTCCCAGGATGGTAGGGGAAGACTCCTCAATATTCATTAGAGAACTCATCCCTGATTGGTCTGATGACCTACCTCTAACCCCGCCCCTAAACCTAACCGTCACTGAGGACTGACGACCTACCCCCCCTAACCCCGCCCCTAAACCTACCCCTCACTGGGGTTAAGACCAATCAGGGATGAGTTCCCTAATGAATATTGATGAGTCCTGTCGTGTTCACAAGTTTCAATATAAAAGTCTTCTCTACTGACAGACTCACTAATAAAGAGAGTCTTTGTCGCCATCTAACGGCAAAATAATCGAACTTCTGTTGTTGTTCACGTTAGGGTGGGACTATTTTTTCCAGCGGAAGGAAGTCTTTTATTGATTTTACGTCATGAAAGTTGCTTTGATACATTTTTTTGCTTTAATATTTGTATTGTTTAGTCACCTACTCGAGGCAATAGTGCTGTATCGTGAATCAGTCACTGCTGAAGGGCGTTGTTAGGCACGACACGAAGAGTAGGCTTACTTTACTCGTGTAATCCACCCCGCACTCTATCGGGTTTCTCTGAATGTTTGACTTCTCACAATAGCCTCTCAGATAATTATAACTTTTCCATTTCTCCAATTATCTGTTCATTTTGAACAAAAACAATGCAACTTCCACAGAAGTGCAGTGGGTTTCTGAAAACAGAGTGCATTTGTGCCTTTCAAGCCAATTATGGGTTCTAACCTGTATTACTAAAAGCCTTATTACAGTAATGATCCTTTCTGATCCAAAGTACAACCACTGCAATGACCACGCGGACAGACAGAGCCATGCAGACACAGGAGGAAAAATCGCAAATCAGATCTCACTTCGGTCTCCAGAGGCTTCCTTACGGTGGCCCAGTAGTGCACAACACAACGAAATACTTTATAAAAGGATGTCTCAAATGCATCTCAGTATCAACTCAAACATTTCTCAAACGACATGTTATTCTGTGCTGTTAGTTCAGTTGTGTTTTATTTCTTTAGCAGAACATCTGAAGAGGAATTGATACTATATCATATAGAAGATCGCTACATTTCCTTTATTTTTTCCTTTACAGAAATTACATAGCATTTCTGCAAAAAAAATATAATAGATGCTACACTTACAAGTAGGCCTGCAGTTTATCAAAATAATGAATGGACGAAATACGGTATTTTCTTTTTGTATATGTAAATTATAAGGGTTGTGCTGAGGATGCATGCAGGGTATATTCATTTCAGGGTTTCTTTTCTTTTATGCTTTAATATGCAAACATATTACAGAGATTTGAAGCTAGACTCAACAAATCTCCACGTTCGACAGTTATGCCATCTGTGGTGCATGTCGGCTAATGTCTGATATTCATCAAACATTTCAAGACAAAAATGTGATGCATTGAAGCTTTTCAGAAGAGCAACATGTAATTGCCAATACGATGTCATAGTTTGTGTGTGTGTGACACTGACAGGCACACTGATCTGAGCATTATTGTTCGTTACATTAATTAGCTTGATGGACAGTGTGATCTCAGACATCCAAGCAAGAATATCTTTCATCTGTGGTGAGTGTGTGTAAAGAGAGTGCATCACTGCAGATCTCTATGGACACAATGCTTGATGATGCTGCTGCTGTATAAAGTGCACTTTGAGATGCGACTTGATTTCCACATTTTATAGGACGCTGCTGCCACCAAGTGGCCAAACTGTGTATGTGGATCAGAATCTGATGGATGGACCATAAATTACTGTGATGGTGATGGAATAGGATATTTTACCATGGTACTTTGATATAGTCAAAAGATAGATCTGAACAAAATGGTGAATTATGTTCTCAGGATGGGTATTGTTCATAACAGCCAGGGTGGGGCAAAGTATTTTATTTTACAACGTTAT